TTTAAAAAAAAAAAAAATTCTGGAGAAGAGCTTTATCAAACTCTTTAGAAAATGCTAACTGTTCATCTTGTCATTTTTAAAAAATCTCTGTATAAATGCATATATCAGTCCTTGTACAGCTGTATTTGATGATTCCCCCCATATATTCAACAATATGAATTTCTTTTTAAAATTTAATCCATGTGTGACCTACTGTTTGAAGAAGGTTTTCTTAATGGCTGATTGTATATCATGTATTTTAATCTGTCCTTAAAGTGAATTATTGATTGAGATTAGAAAATATTTAACTAGCACTGTTTCAAATCAGTGTTTAGAGCAGCAACTTTTGATTTTGTGTCCTTTTAATGATAGGTTGCATTTTCCTTCTATGTTTATGCATAGATATCAATTATATTTTTAATTAGGACAGTGATCCAGCCAGGCATTTCCCATCCTGATATTCAGCTCTTGCACCCAATTAACTTGGAATTGTCTGTAAATCGGAATCTAGCTGCATCTTGGTATCACAAAGTGCCTGTTGTAGAAATTAAAGGACATCTTGAGTCAATGAATGTAAGTATATGAGTGAAAAAAAACTCATTACTGAAATTTTAGATTCTGAAGACTTTCTTAGTATAAATCCATATGATACATGAAATTGTTTACTGATAGGCGTACAAAAAATTTCAATGAGGTCTTGTCCAAAAAGATGTTTATTATTTAGCAGAATTTAATCTTCAGTTAAGTGTAACTTAACATTGGTGTATGTATGTATATATGTATATATGTACAGTTGATATACAATATTAGTTTTGGGTGTATAACATAGTGATTCAACATTTATATACATTGCAAAATAGTCACCATAATGTCTTTTATCATCTATCATCTTACAAAGTTAATATTGTATTATTGACTATATTTTCCATACTGTATATTAACATCCTCATGACTTATTTATATTATAACTGGAAGTTTGCTCTTATTAATCCCTTTCACCCATTTCATACCCCTAACTCCCCTTCCCCTCTGGGAACCAAACACCAGTCTGTTTTCTGTGTCTATGAGCCTAGTTTTTGTTTTGTTTTGTTTTTTAGATTTCACATATAAGTAAAATCATGCTGTATTTGTCTTTCTCTGACTTACATCATTAGGCATAAGTGTTTTTGTTTTCTTTGGATAGATAAGCAGTAGTGGAATGGCTGGATCACATGGTAGTTCTTTTTTTTTTTTTTTAGGAACCTCCATACTGTTTTCCATAGTGGCTGTACCAGTTTACATTCCTATCAACAGGACCTGTGGGCTCCCTTTTCTCTACCTCCTTGCCAGTACTAGTTGTTTCTTGTCTTTTGGGTAGTAGCCATTCTGAGAGGTGTGCAGTGATATCTAATTGTGGTTTTGATTTCATTTCCCTGATGAGTAATGATGTTGAGCATCTTTTCATGTACTTGTTGGTCATTTCTGTGTCTCTTGGAAGAATGTCTTTTCAGATCCTTTGCTCATTTTTTAACCAGATTGGTTTTTTGTTTTGTTTTGTTTTAAGATTTTATTTATTTATTTATTTGACAGAGAGAGACAGCAAGAGAGGGAACACAAGCAAGGGGAATGTGAGAGGGAGAAGCAGGCTTCCTGTTGAGTAGGGAGCCCGATGAGGGGCTCGATCCCAGGACCCTGGGATCATGACCTGAGCCAAAGGCAGACGCTTAACGGCTGAGCCACCTAGTCGCCCCTAACCAGATTGTTTTTTTTATTACTGAGTTGTATGAGTTCTTTATATATTTTGGATATTAACTGCTTATCAGATATATGACTTGCAAATATCTTTTCCCATTCAGTCAGTTGCCTTTTCATTTTAATAATGGTTTCTTTTTCTGTGCAGAAGGTTTTTAGTTGATACAGTTCCAGTTGGTTATTTTTCTTTTTGTTGCCCTTGTCTTTAGAGTCAGATCTAAGGAAAAATCTTTTAAGATCGAAGTTAAGGAGCTTAGCACCTATTTTTTTTTTTTTTTTTTTAGGAGCTTTATGGTTTCAGGTCTCACATTCAAGAATTTCATCCATTTGAGTTAATTTTTGTATATAGTGTAAGAAAGTGGTCCAGTTTCATTCTTTTACATGTAACACTTAAATTTGAACACATCCAAAACTCTTCACCTCCCAGAGTTTGTTTTTGATGTCCCTTTTTACATCTTTTATTTTTACTACTTTTTTTTAACATTTTTAGTAGTTTTATAAGTGATTAATCTACTACCTTTACTATATATTTACCTTTTCCAGTGAGATTTTTACTTTCATATGTTTTCTCTTTATTAATTAGTGACATTTCTTTTCATCATAAGTCTTTTTTAACATTCTTAAAAGGCTGGTTTAGTGGTTCTGAACTCCTTTAGCTTTTGCTTGTCTGAGAAACACTTTCTCTCTCCTTCTATTTGAATGATAAACTTGCTAGGTAGAGTATTCTTCGTTGGAAATTTTTTTTAGTACTTTGAATAGGTCATGCTACTCCTTTGGCTTGTAAAGTTTCTTCTAAGAAATTTGCCAGTAGCCTTATGGGTTTCCCTTGAACATAACAAGTTGTTTTTGTCTTGCTGCTTTTAAGATTCTCTCTTTATCTTTTACTTTTAACATTTTAATTATAATGTGTCTTGGTGTAGTGCTCCTTGGGTTCATCTTTTTTAGTACTCTCTGGGCTTCCTGGACCTGGATATCTGTTTCCTTCCCTAGGTTAGGGAAGTTTTCAGGTATTATTTCTTCAAAAAGTTGTCTGCCCCTTTCCTCTCTCTTCTCCTCTGAGACTTCTGTAATGTTAATATTCTTCTGTTCATTGTTGTCCCCAAAGTCCCTTAAGATAGCTTCATTTTTAAAAATTTTTAAATGTTGTTATTACTCTGTGTTGGTGAGTTCTGTTGCTTTATCTTCCTGTTCACTGATTTGTTCTCCTTCATCCAGTCTGCTGCTGAACCCCTCTAGGGTATTTTTCAGTTCAGTTTTGTATCTTTAGTTCCCTGACTTCTGTTTGGTACTTTCTTATATTTTATATCTCCTTGTTGAAGTTTCCACTGTGTTCATCCATTCTTCTCCTGAGTTCAGTGAGTAGCTTTATGATCATAACTTTAATTCTTTATCAGGTAGATTGCTTATCTAAATATTATTAAAGTGTTTTTCTGAGGTTTTGTATTCTCTAATTTGAAAATATTTGTTTCCTCATTTTGCTTGACTTTCTGTGTTTGTTCCTATTTATTAGGTGAAACAACTCCTTTTTTCAGTCTTGAATGAATGGCCTTGTTTAGGTGATGGTCCTTCTCTCTCAATCTTGCCATAGCTTGTGGTTGTCTCTTGAGCTTTTGTGGTTGTCAAAACCGCCTGATTTATTATTGGTATGCCCTCATTATTTAGAGTGTATCAAGATCTGTCAGTGGAGGGGCGCCTGGGTGGCTCAGTCACTAAGCGTCTGCCTTTGGTTCAGGTCATGATTCCAGGGTCCTGGGATTGAGCCCTGCATTGGGCTCCCTGCTCAGCCAGGAGCCTACTTCTCTTGCTCTCACTCCCCCTCCTGTTCCCTCTCCAGCTGTCTCTCTCTCTCTCTCTCTCTCTGTCAAATAAACAAATAATCTTAAAAAAAAAAGATCTATCAGTGGATCCAAGTGGAGGAATATTATTTAGCACCTAGTTTTTTTTTTTTTTTAAAGGTTTTATTTATTTATTTGAGAGAGAGAATGGGATAGAGCATGAGAGGGGGGAGGGTCAGAGGGAGAAGCAGACGCCCTGCTGAGCAGGGAGCCTGATACGGGACTCGATCTCGGGACTCCAGGATCATGACCTGAGCTGAAGGCAGTCGCTTAACCAACTGAGCCACCCAGGCACCCAATTTGGCACCTAGTTTTAAGCTGATTGGAAGCCAGACCCTCAGGCAACAGCTTTTAAAATATGCAAATATATACAGTCCTATGGGACTGCAGTCATAATCCCTGCTGGGCTCCAGACTAGGAGATCTGGAGGTGTCCACTGAGCAACAACTGAAAAAATTAGTGTATTGCATTGGTGTATAAATGAGTGTATGAACTCCTTTCTGGGAAGTCTTGTCTAGCTGTAATGAGGCCAAGAGGATGTGCAAGGCTAGTGTCTCCCTGCTTTCATACCCTGAAAGCTCCTCTTTAGTCTCTAGATGTGTGGGAAACCTGAAGTCTGTCCCTTAGGCTGATGCTCAAGGTTGAGTGAATAGGTCTTTTTCATAGACTAAGGATGTGCTTCAGTCTGCTGTCTGTGCATTGCCCTGGGAGTGGTAACTTGCCAAGAACTGTCTTTCTGATAGTTACGGTCCTGTGGAGCTCTGGAACACCAGCCTTCTTGGCTAGCAGGGCCAGGAGATCAAGGGTGTTCACTTTGTGGATTGCACATGCCTGCTGGCTTTAGGAAGACACCTTGTGAGTGTAGGGGGCGGAGCATGCTCCCTGGCTTCAGAAAGGCAGTGGGAAAATGTCTTGACTGCGTGTGCCCATGAGCTTCAGCAGCAAAACAGGCTAGTGCCTTGTGCGTCTGTGTACTGACTTTAGTCTGGGAGTGGGAAAATGCCGGGACCACTCACCCACTCCAGCCATGGGTGTGTTGCAGCTGCCTGTGCTTGCAAACTTGAGCTGGCAAGTGGGAGAACTCCACCACAGTTTTGTTCTCCGGCCCAGCCAGGTTGCGAGGCAGCACTGCCATTGCCAGTGCAGCCCAACCTCAGCAGGTGTTGTGACTGCTCCCCCACTCATCCCAGCAAGGCTCTGGGAGGGTGCCGTGTCTGAGCTCTCCTGTCTGTGCTAGCGGGCCATGTGGAGGGTACAGCTGTGGCATCTGCTAGCGTGTCAGTCTCCCAGCAGTATTTCAGATGTCTCCTGCTCCTTCAGCCAGTGCCCCCAGATCAGCAAGTGAATTTCCCTCATATGCGGTCTAGGTGCTTTTCAAACTGCTGGTTTTTCACTGGATCTTGGGACAAGCCCTTTAAGAGAGGAGTCTCAGTTTGGGACCCCTGGAGGTCAGTCCTGTTGGTTTTCCAAGCCAGACATTCTAGGGGCTTCTCGCTTTGGTGCACATCCCAGGGGCACGGGTACCCCATGGGGAGCACCAGCTCCTCACTCCTCCATGAGAGGCACCTGTCTGGTGAGATCCTTCCCTTCTGTGTGACATCACTGGGGGAGGGCTTTTTTGTGAGACCTTGTCTCTCTGCCTCTCCAGCTTATCTCAGTGTGGTCCTTTTATCTTTTGCTTTGAAGAGCAGTTCATCAGGCTTCAGGTCTTTCTCAGAGGAAAATGATGCATATGTAGTTGTAGATTTAGTGTGTATGTGGAAGGTGAGTTCAGGGTCTTCCTATGCCACCATCTTGGACCCCTCTTCCTTATTTAATTTTTAAATTTGCTATATGTACACAATAGCAGAGATCTGTGTGTAAATTGTTTATTAGTATATCTCATTTTATATGTTATAAACCCATACTTTTAATTTTAGGGGTATCTCAGTACCCCTATAGCATTGAGGGCAAAGCTTATTTTTTATACTGAAGATAGCCTTTTTATTTCATTGGAATTGTTATTTTTAAAAATGTAGAATTTTTGTTTTTTCTGAGTTTGTCACTTTTTTTAAATGATCTGATTTCCTTAATCATTATTATCTTTCCCTATAGTTTATATAAGTTAAGTAGATGGAACTAATACTGATTTATAAATCACCTTTTTTTCTCCAAACATTTTATTATCTTTGAAACCAAAAATATAAAATGAAATAAGTAGTGAAATACTTGAGTGCATAATGAATATATAATTTTTCAGTGTTAAGGTTATTCTTTCTTCAGTGTCTTATAAATAGTAATTTATTATCTATATTAGAATTGTTTCATTTTATTTAGCTATTTTTTAAAGGAATTAAAAAATATTTATTTATTTGAGAGAGAGAGAGAGAGAACAAGCAGGAGGGAGGGGGAGAGGGAGAGGGAGAAGCAGCCTCCCTGCTGAGCAGGGAGCCCGATGCGGGACTCAATGTCAGGACCCTGGGATCATGACCTGAGCCAACGGCAGATGCTTAACCAACTGAGCCACCCAGATGCCCCTAAAATTTTTCATTTTAAAATGAAATATCTTTATCTTTTCTTTTAATGATATTTCATAGGTTAATCTCAATCAAGAAGATCTTAATCTTTTATTTAGAATACTAGCAGAAAATCTTGGTGAGGCTACTGAAGACTTGAATAAAATGAAACCAGGAGTACAAAAGACAGGTAAGAGACTGACAGTAGGTGGCATAATACACATATCTACTTATTTTACAATTTAGTAGGGGAAACAGACAATAAAAATGACATAAACAAATATATATTTACAAATTGTGATTTGTATTACCATGAAAAGAAAGAAGATGTTTATTTGTTGAATAAATATTGCATGAACCTGTAGTTAGAGCTGATGGACTCTCTTTAGTTATGGCAATAGTTGGTTATAGGTTCCGAACTTATTTCTAAGTTGCATTAAATTAGGAGGAACCATAAGGAAGCATTTTATATCTGGTGGATTCCTGGAATAATTACTGTATGCAAATAAAAACACTCAAAGTTGACAGTGGGCTATGGTAGCATGGTTAATCTGATTTTTAAATTGGGTTTTGTGGTAAAATATCTTTAAGAATGAAAACATTTGATAAATTACACCTCAGCAAAGAAAATACTGAAAAATTGTACTGCAGTAAAAACTCAGAGAATTTAAATTATTAGTTGCAATGGCCTTTTGACTTAAAGGCAAAGTAACTACCAGACCTAATTTTTAAAACTGTTTTATATATGTATATGACATGCACATATAGTTATTTTTTTCAAACAAATGGCACTATCCTATAAATGTGTATATGTGTGTGTATTTCTGCAGTCTGCTTTTTTTATTTCAAATAACAGTTTATCTTGGTGTTCATTCTATATCTGTAAATATACTATGTATAGTTCTGTCTCATTCTTTCTAATGGCTGCCTGGTATTAAATTATCTTGAAGTATTATAATTTATTTAGCAAGTCTGTGTTGATGGACATTGCAGATTGTTTTCAGTCTTTCACTCTTACCCATTACATTGAATATCCTTGTCCATACACTTTTACGAGTGCACATATGTCTGTAGGGGAAATACGAGGACTTCTTGATTAAAGGGTATTTAATTTTTATTAACTTAATATATGTTAAGTTAATGAATTTAATTAATTTAATTGAACATTTTTGACACCTCTTGCCAATTGCTCCCCTTAGGACTTGTACTAATTTTGCACTCCCACCAGCTTGTTTTTTTGTATTAAAATTTTTGCTAAATTGCTAATTGAAAAATGGTATCTCACTATATTTTTATTTTTAAAAAAACTTTTTCTTACTATGTTACAGAGCACAAATAGTAGTAAAGAACACAAATCTTAAGTGTACAGTTCAGTGAATTTTTATGTATAGCTATACCATATAGCTCTTAATCACCATGATTAATATATAGAACATTTCTAGCTCACCCCAGAAGGCCTCCGTATGCCCCTTCCCAATCAGTACCAAACACCCACCCTGCCCTCAAATCCACCCAGAATTAACTGCCATCCTTATTTGTAATACCACAGATAGATTAGTTTTGCCTGTTTTTGAATTTCACATAAATGGAGTCATACAGAGTTTACTCTTTGGTTTTTGGCTTCTTTCAGTCATTATTTTGTTTGGGAGATTCTTCCATGTTGTTGTGTGTAGTGGTAGTTGTTCTTTTTAATCCTGTGCATATTTATCATATGAATGCATTAATATTTATTTTATCCATTCTACCTTTGATGGCAAACATTTGGGTTGTTTGCATTTGTTGACTGTCTTGAATAAAGTTGCTATGAATGTTGTTATACATGTCTTTTGTTATACTTATATACTGTCTTCTTTTGGTTGTATAGCTAGGCTTCACATGTTAGGCTCATTTGTTAGGTTTACATTTAGCTTCAGCAACTTAGGCCATATTATACCAAACGATTTTCTGAATGGTTGTACTAATTTACCAGCAATGTATGAGGGTACTAGTTGTTTCACATTCTCACTGGCCCTTGGTATTGTCAATATTTTTAAATTTAGCCATCCTGGCTGATATGCAGTGGTATTTCTATGGTTCTTATTTGTTCCCTGATTACTAATGAAACTGACACCTTTTCATATGCTTACTGGCCATTTGGATATCCTTTTCCATGACATGACTATTCAAATCTATTGACCATTATTTTTATTGAGTTTTTTTTTTTTCTTAGTGATATATTGGAGTTCTTTGTTCATTCTGGATATGAGCCTTTTGTTGGTTGTGTGTGTTATATGTGTATGTGTTGATATAGGCATAGAAATAGCCCTATCTGTGATTTGCTTTTCATTCTTAATTGGGTCTTTTATGAAAAGAATTATTTAGTTGTAATGAATTCCAATATATCATTTTTGAAAGTGATTAGTGCCTTTTATTTCTTAAGAAATCTCTGCCTATTCCAGTAATTATTTTGTAAAAGCAAAATATTTGCTAGAATCATTTCCCCTGGATCACACTGTGGAACAGTGCTGGAATAAGGTGATAGTTAAGAAACCTCACCCTATGTGTTTCTTTCTCAGAGTTAATAATTGACAGCATTGGTTTTTCATATGGTTTTCTGGCATGGTTTATGGTACAGAATTCTTGTGTTAGTGATCATAGATAATGTTAACTTCAATAATATTAGTAACTAATGTAATGTTAATGAGGGTTAGTTCAGAGTAATGGCTATTGTGAGACTGATGAGTTTGGACTCTACCATTTGCCATCTGTGTGAAGTTGGGCAACGTCCTGAATCTATCTGAACCTCAATCTGCTCATCTGTGAAATGAAGATAATAAAGTTTTTATCTTGAAGGGTTGATATAAAAATGAAATGAGACAATCCATGTACAGCCCTTAGCATAGTGACCAGCACAGAGGTAAGCAAGTGATAGCTATTATTAATTTTGTGTATTACAGTTTAGAAAGCAATTTTATTGCATTTCTGAGTGTGTGATTTTCAGCACAACGATGTCAGTTTCATATAGCTTTACTTTTGCTTTTTTGTATGGTATAAGAGGTTGTAACCATCCCTCCTATTTTTTTTCTTTTCTAGCTTTAACTCTTGTTATCCACCTCATGATTTAATCATATCAAACTCTGTTTCCAAAACCTATCATGATGTGCTATCTACAATTTTGCACAATCTCTTATCTTATTCTTGGGTGCCTTCTCTATATGAGGAGGTCCTTAAGCTCTACCTGAATGATAACTCCCTTATTAAAACTTTCTTGACCTCCCCATAACTATTTCATGTTCTTTATTTTCTGTAGTCTTTTAACATTTGTCTACTTAATGTGACCAGGCATAGCCTGCTTCTTTTTTTTGTATTTAATTTTTTTTTTTAAAGGTTTTATTTATTTATTTGACAGAGAGAGAGAGAGCACAAGTAGGCAGAGTGGCAGGCAGAGGGAGAGGGAGAAGCAGACTCCCCACTGAGCAAGGAGCCTGATGCGGGACTCCATCCCAGGACCCTGGGATCATGACCTGAGCCCAAGGCAGACGCTTAACCAACTGAGCCACCCAGGCGCCCTGTTTGTTTGTATTTTAAATGTATATGTCTCTTCTACTAAACCATAAGCTTTCTAAGGGCTGGAGCTATGTATTACTGATTTGTGAATTTTCAGTGCTTTCACAGGTCCAGAGTACTCATACATGTCCTCAATGAGTATTTATGGAAAAAAATGTGTGGATAGAAGTGAAAGAATTTCTTTTAAACATCTTTAGGTGAAATTAAAGGGCCACTTGAAACCTCTACAGCAAAACAAGATGTACATGCTTCCCAAGGTACTTTAACAGCTGGAATGGAAGAAATGAGATCTGTAGACATCATTAATGTGCTGCTGAATTTTGAAATCAAAGAGGTGTGTAATTTTCATCTGTTTCTGTAAAGTGAATAAGTAAAAGATATTTGGAATTACCTCTACTAAAACTCGTAGATTATTGATATGGATGAAAAAATCTTAATGTAGGCTATTTATAATTTGTATGTAGCAGTGCAGTTTATAGTAAATTTGAGAGTTTATGAAAGATGAGTTATATTTGGGGTATACGATATTTCATAGAGAACATGGTTCCATGTGTCCTGTAACATGCTTTTCAAATGATTTTAGGACACTTGGGATGTAGCTTGCTTTGGATTTCATTTAAGAAAGTCAGGAAAGGGAAGTAGTGACAGAGAAATCCTTTGCAAATTTTAGAAACCCTTAATAGAATAAAACACAGTATGTCTACATGTTTTAAATATTATATTACCACTACACTATCTGCTTTCCATCTGCAGATCTTTGAGGAAAGATTAGATGGATTTTCCCCTTCTGTATTCACACATTAATATTCATTGCATGTGCTAAGTGCTGAGGATGCAGAGTTAAAAGGCAGAGACTCTGAACTCTAACAAGAAAACAATTAAAATTTTGTAAGTGCTCCCATTAAAAATGTGCCTGAGGAGCTTGTAGCTGTGATAGTAAGGAGGGGGATCTAAGCAGGCTGAGAGTGTCAGGGAAGATTTTCTGGAGGAAGTGACATTTGAGATGAGCTTTTAAGGAAGAGTAAGTAGAGTCTGAGAAAAGGGGATCAGGAAAGGGGCTGGGGCAGGGTTAAGGTGTGAGTATATGAGAAAATATAGTAGATAAAGGGACTTGAAAGAACTTCCTGCAAAATCCCTTTGTCATTAATAGTAGAGGTTATGTTCTTCCTCTGAGTTAAAAATAACAAACTTTAAAACAAATGGGTTCTACTTTTCTTATCTGAAATATATGCTTTGCAACTAATTTCTTTCATCTTAAAACTTTAACTGTTTTTCTGGTTAATATTAGTTATTGAAGATACATAAGCTTTAATAATTGAAACATTGATGTATCATTCTATTTGCAAATGGGCTTCATTAACATATGTGCATAGAAAACCCATAAGCTGTTTTTCCTGTCATTTGTAATAAATATTATTACAGTTCCATTCCCTGAGGACATGGGAAGTAGGGGAGGCAATTTGCATTCCCCAGGCCAATACTTGACACTGAAGACATTTTTGGTTTTCACTATCTGGGGAGAGGGAGCTGCTGACAACCAGTGTGAGAGGCCAGCATTACCACTAAACATCCTACAGTGCACAAGTCTGCTTCCTCACTGCAAAAAATTATCCAGCCCAAAATGTCAATGGTGTCAAGTTTGAGAAATCTTGCCTTAGGATTAGTATAAAAGTTGCCCATTTATTGTATAGACTTCCAGATGAAAGGCTGTCCATCAGACTAGAACTTCTGGGAATTAGGCAGAACTACTTTTTTTTTTTTATTTTGCCTTGATTCTAATCACTAGAATATAGTGGCAGTGTTTCAAAAATGTGAACAAGTATATGTGCCTGCTCGGCAGGGAGCCTGCTTCTCCCTCTCCCGCTCCCCCTGCTTGTGCTCTCTCTCTCTCTCACTCTGTTAAATAAATAAATAAATAAAAATCTTTAAAAAATAATTCAAATAAATGTACCTTCCAAAGTAAATAACACTAGGCAATTTTCCAGGCACAAATAGTGGTGCACATGTTTACACTGTATGAATATTTTTATTATATCACTCTGGATGGTTATGAAATTGTTGACTTACCTTCATTGTATATAAGTGGAATTGTTTGTGGTAATACTGGGCCTTTTCTAGGTTGTGATTACTTTGATGAAAAAAGCAGAGAAGAAAGGAAGGCCTTTACATGAACTTAATGTCCTGCAGCTTGGAATGAAAGCTAAAGTCAAACCCTATGACCTGACTGCTAAAGCTTATCTAAAAAAAATTAGTATGCGATGCTTTGAGTTCCCTGGTAAGTGTGAATTATAGTCTGTGTAAATTATTCATGTTATAGGCAGTGGTCCCTACCTTTTTGTCAATAGTAAGCAATTTATTAATGTCATCATAATTAATTTAATTTATTACCTTGATAAAAAGGAATTTGATATTTAAAAATTTATTATCTATGTAGTTGCCATAAAGTAAGAATATATCTAAATATATATATATCTATATTTAGCATGAAGTAGAATATATTCAAATCCACTTTTTAACATGCATTAAGCCAGCTTTTTTTTTTTTTTTTAAAGATTTTATTTATTTATTTGACAGAGAGAGACACAGCGAGAGAGGGAACACAAGCAGGGGGAGTGGG